AAAATCACGTACAATAATTCAAATCTAATAACTACATCTCAATATCTGTACCTGTTACACGCACAAAAAAAAAAAAAAACTACATAACAGCTTGTAAGTTACCATTATTAGAATATTTTTCAAACCAAGTTAAAAATCACATACAATAATTCAAATCTAATAACTACACAACAAATACCATATCCGGAAGTATCATCTTTATCAAAATAATTCCAAACTTTGCTAGTAGACTGAGATCCACTATATTTAATAATATTAGTTGATTGATAACTGGAAGAAACCACATATTCATGATCAAAAGAAGCCAAAAAGCTATCTTTATTACTTTCTTCTAAAATGGCTTGCATGTTCATTTTACTTAGAATTAAAGTTTCAAAGTTGTTACGTGAAAAGAGATAAATAAATTTATTTATTTTTTATATATCGTATATTTGACTTTAAATTCATTGCATCATTTATCATTACTAATTTATTCTATGATATTTAACTTTCATTACTACTTTTTTATGCATTATATTCAATTTTGCATTTACATCATTGATTAATTACTATATAATCATAATACCTAATATACAAAACTAAGTGATAAATTCTAAAGAAAAATAAAAGCAATTAATAGATATTGCACTTAATGATTATAACGATAATAATAGCGATAAATAAGTTTAATTTTGAATCAGATATCTTGTTATATAAATTCGGTGAATTCAGATTAAAAGCTATCAATTTATCAATCAGATAAATTATTCAGATTAAGTGTTTTATCTACTTATATTCGGATAAACAGATGATTAGATCTAAGCACTAATACATTATTAGAATTTATTATCAAAATAGAATATACGACTCCAAAGATGAAAAGAGGGCATTTAAATGGTATTTAAAACCTGCAGATGGCGGACATTTCGAGGCACAATTAGAAGTTGGATTATGCTTTCAAAACGGTACTGGAACTATAGTTGTTAGATGAAACCTTTTTTGATTGGTGACGAAAAACAAAACCTAAGCCCCAAAATGGCGAAATCTCAAATTCTGCCGACGAAACTCAAATTCAAAATAATGAAACCTTAGTGCTAAAAAAAATCCCCTTGGTGTTCCTGCTAAAAAAAAAAAACTGAATTGATGAAACTTTATAATAATAATAAATCTCTACTTCTTTCGCTAAAAAATTACTAGTGAAATTTTGGTCTAGATGAAGCTATCAATAAAAATAATAAAATTATCTCTATAATTTAGACTAGAGATGGGACCCGAAACCTTTTTGGCCAAATCCGAAAGTTTCGGGTTTCAGATTATAGATTCCAAAACCTCACCCAAAACTTGAAACCTCATCCGAAACCCCGAAACCCAAAACCTTATCCAAAACCTACCCGAAACTCTAAAACTCTATCCGAAACCTCCAAAACTTATATAAAACTTTTTCAAAACTCTAAACTGTTGAAATTTTAATTTAGTATAGTATACATAATTTCGTTTTATTATAAACTAGTTCAATGGGTGGTGCTTCGCGTCACCCATCTTATTTGTTTAATCAAATTTCTGTTTTAAGATTTACAGAATTTATTATTTATTGCAATATACACGATATGTAATTAAATTTTAATAAGTTTCATTGGAATTATTTATTAACTAGATAGCTGCGCGATGTCATCACGCGAAAACAGGAACAGAAGATCTAAGCAGAGGACAGAATCAATGCATCTGATACTATGAATTTGCACATAGTTATGATGCATTCCAGGGCTAATATTCAAACTTTATTAGAGAGTTACAGCATACATCATACATCAGTATATTTGATGTATAATTGAAAAAAATATATAGTATATATCCATGCGTTTGATGTATAATCGGAATTAGTCGGTGGTTTTCCACCCGCATAAATGCAGAACAACTGTTAGCCAGAAGCTTTGTAGTTACATGATCTTAGCTGGTGGTTTCCCACCTGAATAACGCAGGCCAGCTGTAAAGAGATGTTTAAGCTGCAGGATTCTATTAAGGGAGGGTAGGGTAAGGTGTGAAATTGATTTGCCTCTTGAAGAGGCTGCTGTCATGCTGTCCTGCCACTCTTCCATTTTATATCTGTACGTTATTGTCATACGTTCTCTGCTATAGATGGGTGTCTAAATTATTTTTGAAATATTGTATTTTCAGCAAATATTTTAGCATTGCAAATTTTTATATGAAGCTCTTCGAAATAACTATATTATATAATGTGGTTTGATGTAAAGAGTTCAAAAAATTTTGGCAATAATTTCAGCAAATATGAAAATTTCAGCACTATATAAGACTAATTTCAGCTGTCTAAATGCTGCAAATACTTTATTATTAAGATGGGCAATTTAGATACCTATGTATATTCTCTGTTATATTAGTATTCGCGTCACAAGCTCCTAAAGTAATTTCATTAAATTTATACTTATCTTCCCTTACATATACCGGATTCTCTTGCTCATGCATCACTGCTTAGCAGTTTTTTCTATCTGTTGACCTACTGTCAACTGAAAGAAGAATGCAGTCATGTGAGTTTTAGCCAACCATTGTTGTAATATAAAACAATAATTACAGTAAATACAGTAAATAAAATCAAATAAGTTAGTGCTAAGATAAGAAAGTTTGTATTCTAAAATCATTCTAACAGCTCTTTATGGTTAGTAGAGTTCCAATTCAGAAAATCCGTTGTCTATATCTGAATCATCCGAATAACTCTAATCGCTGAAATATTTGGATAATTTGGAAGATATTCAGATAATTATCCAGATATCAATAGTAAACAGATAACCAAATAAATTCAGATCCAAACAGATAATTATCTGGTTATACACTTAACGAATTGGAACTCTAATAGTTACTGTTAGGATAAGAAAGTTCATATTATAAAATTATTCTAACAGCTTTTTACAATTAGTGTTAAGATAAGAAAGTTTGTATTATAAAATTATTCCAACAGCTCTTTATAGTTAATATTAGGATGAGAAAGTTCGTATTACTATTCTAACAACATTGATGTTACATGACTGATCTCTCACTCGGTATACAACATATAAAAAATCATTTTACAATACCAGCTAGTACATGTTAAGATTATTATTATTATTATAATCCAACACCATTTTATTATAATAAAACCAGTGTTAGGTTATAATCATAACATGTACTAGTGGGGTGATCTGATATTGCAAAATAATTTTTTTATATGTTGCACACCGGGTGAGGGTATCAGTGTTTCCTCCTTTTCATTCTAACAGCTCCTTGTAATTATTGTTCTGATGAGAAATTATCATTCTAGTAGCTCTTT